GAAATTAAAGAGTAACAGTATACAAGTGCAATCGCGTTACTATAAAATCTAACACATACTATATATCCTCCCTCCCCCCCTCCCCCCCCAACACCCCAGGTAGAGGGCAATTTTAGAGGCTTTTTTAAACAGTTAAGCACTAAGCAGAGTCATCCACTGTGACTCTGGCAGCAACTAGCTCAGCCTTTTTCCTTTTACATTCTTTTTCTTATCATGATGACACTGGTGAGGCTCTGCCTCCCCTGACTGCACGTCACTGCCCTCAGGGTATCTTAAATCTGCAATTCTCTTTAGTTTCTGTTGCCATCCAGCAAACTGAGGAATACAGTTATCCACCGTTGGTCTCTTGGCCTCCTAATATTCATGCTGTCATCATGAATAGCAAATTATTCCTGGTACTTACAGTATATCTAAATTATGCATACAACTCTTATTGTTTTGAAAACCCACGTGCATGGATTTGCTGCACGCATTGGGCAGCGTGGGGGTGACTTTTCCTTTCTCTCCACAACTCATCACTTACTGAGTCTCCAGAATATTTGCAACCTCCATGCCAGGCAGGCGTCAGCCACGGATAGACATTGGCTGCAACTTTGCTAAGGATTCGATGAAATGAGCCAAAATTGTTCAGCAAGCAGCCAGGATTTCTTAAATCAAATCGCTGTTTGAATGGGTTTCATTAAGATGCTAGGTCCAATATTTTGCATAAAGTATAGCAATTTCAAGGCCAGGTGCATACTGTATTTTAGACCTGTGAGCGTTGATTGGCACACCCACTGCACTTTCCCACATCTCTGTCTTTCTATCCCAACCCTAAAGCTACAGAATTCAGGTTCCGCTGCATTGCAAAAGGCTTGTCACAAATCTGTGGGACTAACCACAGCTTTGCAGCTGATTCCTCCTTCCTTGTTATACTCTGCAAGTCTGTTTATAGTCCAGGATGTATGTATCTCCTCTTCAATTCAATTCCCCCCCCCCCGATTTTACCAATATTTTCAAACGTTGACCTAAACTGTATGAAAGGGGATTTTAAAGATTATAAAGTGTCAAAAATGAGGCATATTCAGCTATGCCTGTGGCTCTAAAGTAGTACTGCAATTTCTTTTTAGTGATAGGTTCCTCCTGCTTCACAACAGTGTGACAGATTCAGCTTGTTATCCGTAGATAAGGATTAGCCACATCGCTGTTTCCTTAGAAGACCTTGCTGAATTCATATGCGTTGGTAAACGGAGATAACAAAAATGCGAATTAAAATGTGGGGCGGGGGGGATCAAAACTGACAGTTCCAATTACAGTGGCCTGTTGAATTGCAAAAGTATCAAGGAATGGGGGAGCATTCAGAAGGTCATTGTGTGAATTTTTGAATTCTTCTTCCTCTCATAAAATATGCAAGATCGGAATATTTTCAGTAGATTTTCTTAGGTGGTGAGAGTATATCAGAGAGAAAGAAGTTTTCTAAAAACACTGCATTTGAAATTAATATCGGAGTTCAGGTCAGTGAGAAAAATACAAAGGATTTATACCGTGTATACAACAGGCCGAAGATATCACTTCTGGCAATATTTTAGCCAGATCCATTAGCTTTCCATATGATCTTGAAGATCCAAAGCGTAATAGCCGAAGAATCTGTGCTTCATAGTATTACACGATTTACCACTCTGGATTGAACCATGTGTCTTAGTACAGAGACAACTTTAAGACCCATTCAAAGCAATTTTGGTAAGTCCTCTGACCATCGTTTCTGAAAACTGGCACTAGTGTTGAGGCAGGAAACCCAGAAAACTTGTAATGTGGGTTCCAAAATAGATTGAATGTAACTGTGTAGGAAGTTAGCACCTACCCCTCTCCTGGAAGAATGAAATATCCTAGGAAATATTGAAAAGGCAGAATATTATGTTTCCCTGGATCCGAAATGGAGAAACATGTTTTTAAGCAAGAAGCAGATTCACTCTTAATAGCCTCCACCTTTGTCAATGGGCCATTTAAAAAGCCTGAGCCAGTTTATTCTACATAACAAAGTTCTCCCCCCTTCAGCTCCAGGGTGATGGGATTAATAGCAATAGCAATAGCAGTTAGACTTATATACCGCTTCATAGGGCTTTCAGCCCTCTCTAAGCGGTTTACAGAGTCAGCATATCACCCCACACAGTCTGGNGCTGGAACCGGTTCTAAACGGCACTATAGATTTGTGGAACCTCTTCTATAGAAGAGGTTAGAACTGGCAGGAACCCACCCGTGCTGTTATCGTTAGTTTGGTCATCTTTATCTTTCATTTATTTTCATTCTTTTCACGGTTTGTTTTTCATTATGAGCTTTCAGATCATTTACAATTTCAGCTATCAGAAAAGCATTTATCAGTGCACTACAGGTTACTGATGTTTCTTCCTCTGGCTTTAAAACTATGCCTATTTTCTTCCCACAGTAGGAATAGAAAAAGAACTTTAACATAACCAACATACCCTCTCTTTATTAAGCCAAAAGGGTTTCTTTTTAGAAAAAAAGAACCAACAAAAACCCAGAGACTTAGAAAAGATTTTATTCATCTTAGAGCAAGAATCAATGGTGCAAAAAGGCCTTTTGAAGGCTGCTTCTTGACAGAAGACAAGGCAGGGAAAGAAAAATAGAGAGTCAAAGTAACAATGAATGAAGCTCTGAAACCACACGAGGTGACAAGAAAATGATGAGAATGTAGCTGGGACTTTATGTGACAAAGGAAAAAAAATGCACACAGTGAATCATCCATACCCCCCCTCCATAGAAAACCTTCTTGTTTTAGAAATGTCACACCTCTTATTGCAGAAAAATAACATTTTTTATTTTATTTTGGCTTTTACCAGGCTGGAAATGTTTATTTTATCACTGTTCGTTTAAAATATTTATCTGTCATGGTCATAGATTTGTTGGCACTAGACAACAAGAAGAAATGACTACCACCCTCTGAGAACTAACAGCTTTAATTTTCTGAAGAGAGTTAATTGGGTTAGCGGGCCCTTTCGCAAATGTGATGAGCCATCTTTTTACTCAGCGTGGAGAATTTGGATACCAGAACAAACTACGGCCATTTCTGTAGTAATAATGGCATGTTATGAGGGAGAGCTAGAACATTTGTGGCAGTGAATAAATGTTGAGATTTTAGAATCATTTCTGTTGAATTTCTCCCCACGTCAATTTTAGATTAATTGGAGAAAAGAAGTTACTAAAGTCCAAGAAATACAGATATGTAAGGTCTGAGTATTTTACATTTGTAGTAAAAATATTCATTGCAATAAAAGAGCTTACACATTAGTCCTTGGTAATATAACACTACCATAAAATCTTGGGAATAAAAACATTATTTAATAATAAAACTACTCTTCTTTATAGCAATAGCAATAGCAATAGCAGTTAGACTTATATACCGCTTCATAGGGCTTTCAGCCCTCTCTAAGCGGTTTACAGAGTCAGCATATTNGCCTGGGGCTGTTGACCTCACTGTTGAGGTCCAGCCCTGATTAGAATGAATGTATGAGGTGTTGCTATTTTAAACCATTTTCTTTTGTTATGTGCTTGTTATGTGTCTTTTTTTTCCTCTTTATTTTTGTAAGCCGCCCGGAGTCCTTCGGGATTGGGCAGCATATAAATGTGGTTAATTAAATTAA